TGATTTATATTCAAAATATGTTTGATAAGATGGCCACCTGGAAGTTGTTATAGCTTCACTTTGAAGTTGCTTCATAACATTAGAGCTAGTCCTTTTAAATTTGCAGCAAAATTAAATTATTTGGGAATTGTTTTAAAATATGCCTCCCATGGTACTTTCCATTATAGGCTGTTCATTTCTCAATTAGGTGATGCTGTTGAATTGGTCTAGTAATTTCCACAACTTATGAGGTAGTGGTCTATCTGAAGTAGTTCAGGAATGTTCTGTGGTTATATATTTCACATCAGTGGTAGCAACAGCCAGAGGCCAGGTGGATTCTCTTACTTCATATGGCCTAATAAATGATGTATGAAGTTGAAATGCTTGGGAAGATGCAAAGAGAGGTGTGGCTGACTTGATTCTTGCATTTACCATTTGAGTTTCTAGATTATTTTCTGTGATATTACTTCTAGCATTGTAAGTCCGCAGACATACCGCTATGCCACTGGGGGGCCTGTACAAAACTAACTTTTAAAATACACGTATATATCAATACCAGTACTGTAATACAAATACAAATCTTGGTATACAACAACTGGATCGATCATGACAAGAAGTAAAATCCAGGAGAACACCAAACTTGGACTGATCATGACAAGAAGTAAAATTTTGATGTTCACCAAACCTGGATTGAACATAACAAGAAGTCAAAATTTTGTGTACACCAAACTTTTATTACTTATAACATAAAGTAAAATCTTGGCTGTCATGATATAAAAGACTGTTTCGTTCAGATAGTATCGATTAATTTAGTTTTGTGATTGAATGTTTTATTATTGTTTAGTTTTTGTTATAATAAGAGTTAAAAGCAGATGATTGTAGGAAGTTTTGTTGATAATTCATTGACGTCGAGAATATAGAAGGCAGGCAGACAAGTAAGTGATAATGATTTAAATAGTGTGAAACAAGGGGGAAGCAGCAGACAGACATAAGCAGACAGATAATAGGAAAATTGAATAAAATTGGCATGAAGTTAAGTACCGTAGATGTGATAGGCCTAATGTTTAATATGTTATAGTGAAACTAATAGTAAAAAAGAAGATAAGAAAAATAATTATATTCCATCAAAGCATGGTTCTAAAGTAATTGAATCAGACTGAGTGCACTTTGACAAAAGGAACAGAGGATCTTCAAAAGAAAGAAGACCAAACAAATACAGTAACTCGTGCAACAATTGTAAGTGAACCACAGAGAATATTAGTGCGATAGAAATAGAGAAGATAGTTCATCTTGTCAACTGAAATTTTAATGTAATTGAATAGGCCTAAGTGGATATTTGACAAGAAGGAGAGAGTTACATACATAGTATTTATGATATGTCCATTATAGTATTGAAGAATGTATTGTACATATGTTAACTTGTTCTGAATATATATATATATATATATATTATTTTGAAAACAAGTGAAGTGCGAGCCGTTTATTCATCGTTGACTTTATCGCTAATAAATCACAGACACCTACTGTAGAAGAATCCTAAGCCAACAACAATATAGTATATATTTATACTATTAAGAAATATAACTAAAAGCCTATTTATTTTACAATTGGCAAAGAATTATATTTTATATTCTGACATTGGTGTAAACCAAATTTCCATCATTCCTGAGAAGAAATCAAACCTCATGATCTCTCCATTTAATAATATTGACAAACCTTCATTTTGTATTTTTGTTTCTTCCCATACTTATTTCATATAATGTTTTATATCTATTTGTGTCTGGAAAATAATGGGAAACTGAAAAAAAAAACATATAAAAAAATTAGATTACATTTTATGATGCCCACAATACACCATCTATGATTTTAGTTTCTTATGATTTAGAAACTCAAATTACCGATAATGACAAGCTAGAATATAGACTAAGAACCTCACATCTTTTCTATCTGCTGAGATATCATTCTATTTAGTGAATCCACCATAGTGATCCTGGAAATACTTGTTTACATACATCCATTGCACAATGGTGATTGGTATGATATTTTTTTAAACCTAAATACAGCTTATTTAGTAAGCCCGATAAATTACAGTGGAATTTGTGGTATTGATATTGTAACTTATAATTTTTAGTTATTTCAAAATGCATATATAAAAAATGCAGAGAAATTAAATACGTCTTCTGAATAACAATCCTGAATATTGTAATGTCAAATGGTATCCCTATATAACCTACAATTGGTCAACTTCCATTCTTTTCTTGATTATTATTACTATCTTGCATGAGTTATTCCATGTTTTTATGCTATTCTACCGCTTTGTTTTTCACCCCTTAAATAACAAATAAATAAAACAAAAAAGATTTAAAAGAAGGGTTTCATTTGAATTTTTACCTTTTAATTATATTATCTTATTATGGTTTGGTCTCTAAAATCTAGTGCTTTTGCTATTTTAAGTAAGCTACTCTCTCATTTTATATATTACAGAATAGTAATCATTATCATTATTCATAAATAAACAATTCTTTCTACCACTATCATACTATTCAGAAACTTGTTATCTTGAACCTTTCATGATAAACACTTCCTCCTCATGTGAAATGTACACCTTTTCTATATTTATTACCCCACACTTTTATCCTTTTTACTCCTGAAGAAGAATAGTCAAGGATTTGAAAGTACTCAAATTTCTGCATCTTTTGAAATCTGCTTAAAACACAAAATAACTGTGAACCCATGAGCTGATCTCTTCAAGCACAAGTTTAGTTTGAACCTGTAAACTGATCTCAATATATTTGAAAAACAAGTTTACTGTAAACCTACAGTGATTTCATAATATATGATTTAGGCATTACATTAGCTGTGATCCTTTAAATTGATCTTGTGTTTCAAAGGTCAGCTGTGAACTTAGGAACTGATATCACAACCTATGCTTCAAGCACATGTGAGCTGTGAACCTATAAATTGATCTCATAACCTATGTTTCAAACACAAGTGCTGCAAGCTGATAAACTGCTTACAACCTATAGTTTAAGCAAAAGTTTGCTGTGAACCTATAAAGTGATCTTACAACCTATGTTTTAAACATAAGTTAGTTGTGAACCTATAAGCTGATCTCATAACATATGTTTTAAGCACAAGTTAGTTGTAAATCAATAAACTGATCTTATATCTATTTCATATTCACTATTGAAAACCTGGAACCATCTAATTATTTTCAAATTGCTCATGAATCTAACTTTCATAACAATTTCTAACTACTTACTTGTTAAACTTCCTTAGAAATAAGATTTACATGGGCCTAATATTTAAATTCTACGCACACACACAAAAAATTGCTAGTGGTCACAAAAACAGATGAGTAAAAATTTTCAATTGATTGTAATTTGCACTGACAATAAAAATATAAAATGTAAGTTGCTTGTTTAAATCTTTTAGAATCAGTTATGTAGAAATATCTAAATATCTTCTGAAAACACAATTTTAGTGTAGACGTTGACCTGTTTGTCAAAATACAATGTTTTGTCTATCCAACTGCAGCTGTTATTTGTAGATGAATGCTTCTCTATCAGTGAACTGAATCCAACAATCTATATCAGAAAGATATCTGAATAAAATAAAATGTTCTTGTTTGATAACTTATTGTTCAATGTTGATTACCACCTGGTAATAAGCAACAGGCATCCTCTGCAATACTACAAGAATGTGTTTCTTGACCAACAATATTACAAACTATATAAGCACCTACCTGTAGCTAGAGAACAAAGTTTAAAGAAGTCATTTGTTTCATTCAGACTGTATTCTTCATCATTTAAGGCACTTTGAATATGTCTATGTCTGTTATTATAATATTCAAGGCACCTCGGAGATGTCTGTTTCTATTATTGTAACATTCAAGGCACCTCGGAGATGTCTGTTTCTATTATTTCAACATTCAAGGCACCTCGGAGATGCCTGTTCTTATTACTGCAACAATCAATGTACTCCAGAAATGTCTGTTTCTGTTATTATAACACTCAAGGGATCTTAGAGATGTCTATTTTTGTTAATAAACAAGGAACCTCTGAAATGTTTGCCTATTAATGCAACATTCAAGGGTATGTTTTTATGCCTTTGGTACTTCAGAACTTGGATCCTGATTAACTGCTTGTTTTTTTTTACTTATGAACTGTTCAAGAGTTGACAGTTTGTTTTTCTTTCTCTGTTGAACACACTGAAGAGACTGGTATAACAGATTCTCTATTAATTGTTTTTTTCACAGGAGTTTCTACTACCCTAGTACTGTGGATTTCCTGCTCAGTTTCATTTTTATTGCTGAATGTCAGGAGAGTATGAAGTTTATTTTTAGTTTTCTTTTTTTTAAGTAAAGATCTCTTTTTCAAAAGTTCATCTGGTTTCACTGAGCTTTTTCTTTTAGCTTTTGCAAGATGATGATGTTTTTTAGGAGAGTCTTTATTTTCCTCAAGTTTACATGATATTAGACCTACAGTTTCAACACTACTCACACTGTTCTTTTTTGAAGCATTTTCTATTTGAAAGTTGGGATGGTATGGTTTTAATCGCACGTGCCAGGCAATGCTTGTAACAGCAGTCACAGTTCGAAACTGATGTATGATGTTTCTAGGTAAAAAATAAATGTCATTGTCACGAAGTTGAATACGTGCATAGCGAACTCCTTCACGACGAAGTTGATTGAGTTTGGCATCCTCCACCCACTGGACACACTAAATAAACAATAAGAAAAGTGCATCAAGTAATGCTTCTAAAAGAAAAAAATTTTACGAATGTCTTATGTAATGACAATATCAGTTTATAAAGAATACATCAAACATTGATAAATTGAGGAAAGCCATGTTAACAGATTATTACAGAGGTTCTCAAGATTTATGCTACAATGGAACCCTTATTCAAAAATTTATTTGCAGTGGAACCCTATCACACACACACATATATATATGTACACACACACACACACACACACACACAAGAGAAACACATTATATGTATATTATTATTATAGGTGAAATTGAAAGATAAAATCAGTTTAAATATCAAATTTAATATTATATAAGTTTGAAGTTCTTACTTTTATAAGAAAAACAACCTCAATCTCCACTAGTGTGAGAATTGTGACATCTTGTTCTCTAGTCATCGCTTCTTCTTTAACTTATTTACCTCCCCTTTGATAATTGAAATATTTGACATAAAATAGCCTCTATAATATTGTCTAGCTCATGTGATAGAAAATTTTGATATCCTTCAATCTAATTTGTCTAAAGAGCAATCCAACAAAAATTCCCACCCCTCCTGTCACATCCTCACTTTTACAATTTGCTAATAGGTTTCCCTGACATCCACCCTCATTATATTTATAACCAATAGAAAGCCTAGATTTCAACCGATTGATTGCCATATTTTTTATCACTTAGAGAGCCAGAAAAATTGTGACAGTTACAGAACAGTTTCAGCTTTTTGTTGATATTAATACCATCACAGATTTTTTTCTTGCAAAATCCCTGAAACCAGTCTGCATAACCCAGGTTGAGAAACCCTGGATTATTACATATAATTATAATACTTGTCCAAGATAAACAAAAGTTTTAAAGTATACCAGAGGTGATACCTGTTAAACTTATGAACTTTACAAAAAAAAAGAAAAAAAAAAGAAGACAGTAAAAAACAAACTTCCCTAAACTTTTAGCTGTCAGTGTTTCTCAAGGTAAAAACTGTAGGATATGAAAGAAAGAGAGGTTATACTGAAAGAATTAACATATATTACATAATCCTGAGTTGGTCAGAGCAAGTAAGGGGTGGAAAAAGGATGTTAGCCATATGAACTGAGACTCTGAAACTAAGAGTTACCTTGAAATATGCCTATGAATTATCAACAAAAGGTAAATGTCAATATTCCAAAATTCTTCATCTTGGTATCTCTCAAATAACATCAGTTAAGTGTTATTAATTTTGATTCTTACATTCTATCTACACAATAAGTTCCAAAACCAGGAAGAATATGTGAAATTATTGCATAGCATTTAAAGATGAACAATTTGTTTAAGTAGCATGGCTTTATTTTTTTTGGATAAACTAATATAGACATGTATTTGACAGAAACTGCAAAGAAACTCTGATCACCTAAGACAGAAGTTAACATTTTCCTTACTGGAAAATGTATTTCCAACAGATACTTAGCTCTATGCACACAGCAGCTATTTCTTTAGATTTTGCACATTCCACTAGCTTTGAATATTTCAACAGTAGACATACTTGGAGCCAGAGCGGCACGAGTTTAACATCTTCCATTACCACTGATTCAATGCCAATATACGGAAGTAAGTATACTTTGTGAAGCAACACCTCTCATTGGGTGAGTTCTGAGAAGTGAGCTGCATAAGAGTAGAAATAGGTAAGGAAGTAAAAGAGAGACAGTTGGTAGATTGGAGAACTGCAAATGAAAGTAGGTGATATCCTGAGGGAGACAAAACTGCCAGACGGCAGAGTTAACAGGAGACAAAGGTGTTAGACATAGTCCACATTGTAGGGTGTGGACAATTTTGTCCGAGGATCATTAAAAGTGAGTCATATGACAGATTTGATGTGGTGAAACATGATACACCTATGAACATCTCTATCCAGAGAGAAATGTATCATCTGGAAGATTTGACAAATCCATCAAGTAAGCATAAAGATAAGATATCGTTGAAAGAAGACAAATCCCATGGCAAGAATATACAATTGTGGGAACCCTGAAAATAAGCTGTGAATGCCAAATAACACAAGAGACGACCAGAATAAGTACGATCACAAAGGGCTGAGATCAAAAGAAGAGAAATGGGAGAAAAGGAATGATCTCCCTCCTAAGCCAGCCAAGTCAAATGAAGAAACAAGTGGTGAGGGAAAAAGATCAAGGAAGATCTGTGAAATAAAGTATGGGGAGGGCACCCAATGCATAAATATCACACAAAAGGGAAAAAGAAGGTACTACTAGGTTGGAGGAACCTGAACAACGAGACAAGGATCAAGAAAAATCTACACATGTGAACACAAATGGGTACGAC